CATGTGGAATCGGTCGCAATACGCAATAGAGTTATCGCATTTTTTCGTTACATTCTAATCGTTCTTGATATACGGCTTATTTCCGCATAGATTGCATTTTTGCAACTCCCGGTAGCGGAAGGTTGATTTCCAAATCTTTTAGGCAACTATCAGGTCATTACCCTGTAGTTGCCAAGCGATCTATTTAACGTGAATTTCTAATTATTTGATCAAACTATTTATGGTTAGTTATAGGTACCGACTATGATATTCCTCTCTCGTTAGACAGAAAAATAGTCAATCTAACAAAAATTCTCCCGTACATGATCAAATTAAAATTATTTAAAAAATTAACAAATTGTTCATATTATCAAACTCTTCGGAAAGCATTCAAATGCATTCGGAAAATTACAGGAACTATAGTGGAATTAGCAGAATTATCAAAAATCGGCCAGCATCTCATATCGATCGTTTCCATAAATTTGACTTTTTGGAGAAAAATTGAGAATAACAATGTTTATCGTTAGATCTGTATTTAGAACTTATTCAGAACCATGCATTTTTTACAATCCTGCAGAAACTGTGACTACATCTTTCGTAGGAGAAAATGAGACACTGCTTTAACCTGGTGTCTCAATTTACATTTTGACTTTTTTTGGCTTTAATAGCTAGAATTATTTGTTTAACCTATCTGGAATTATAGAACTATTGAAAATATACTCAAAACTCTCAATAATTAATGAATTTCCCCCAAATGATACGCCATCTTTATATATACACTAAAACTTCTATATTATTTATATATTTTTATTTATCGATATTAAAATCAAATATGGTAATATTCATAAAACTTATAATAATTAATTCTTTCTGTATTATATTATTCAATTTATGATATAATAATAATAAATATTTACATATTTTACATTGCTTATATTGTCTACAGGAAAAATTCGTAAACTTAACGTAAACATAAATACGTCTTATAAACGTAATCTTAAAATATACGGCACAATCATATATGATATCTTCGCATTTAAATTTAGTTTAAATATTAACAGATTCTGATATATATATATGTATCTGTTATATCAATTTTTTTTGAAAATCATATTTTAACGACAAGAAATGCATTTATATGTTAGTATTCTCGATCTCGGTTAACTCTCCGGATTCTATCGAGAGGAGTGGATATCCTTGAGAAGGAGCATTGTCCTCAATAGCTATCTCTTGTTCGGCCACTTAGCTCAACCTGACAAGCTTCTCGTCACTCTGTAACATTGCCCATTGCAATTTCTTGTCAAGGTCGAGATCAGCGGAATGTGTCTCGTGTATCTTGATTACAAATATAACGATTAGAATCTTTTATATTTCTCATATATTCTTGAAAAGATTATTGGGAACGAATTTTGATATTTTATAAGTGATACTCGTACATATCTTTTTAGAAATCATGCTCTAATTTTATTGCTATTTATGCTACTATGTGGATCATGAATTTAATGTATTTGCATATTTTATTCGTTAACTATTTGTGTTGTTTTTATTTACGTTATTTTTTTTTGTTACGTGGTTTATCACATCGATTTTATCGATAAATTATCGAAACGTTAGAAAAGAAAAATTTATTTCTTAGCGTAAATGTAAAACAGCAATTATGCATATATTAACCAATTAAGAAATTGGTAATGTAAGAAATTATTAGATCAGACATAAAATCAATATGAACTTAAAAAAAGATAAACAAAAAGGTGCTAACAGTACGCGCTTCTTGGAAAAAAATGTTTTATATTAAATTAAAAAATGAAACCCAAGTGATACTATCTTTATTATTTTATATATGATAAAATCAAATGGTACGTATTTTTGTAAAAATTGCGTTATCTTAAACTTAAATGATACCATTTGTGTAAAAGATTTGATATTGGCGCCAATTTAAATCCCAAAATTAAAAAATAAGCTACAAATGCTACTACCTTTTTTAATTTATATATAGTAAAATCCAAATGATAAGTATTTTTGTAAAAAATTGTGTTGCCTTACTCAATTCAAATAATATATACACAAATACAAGTGGTAGTGTCTCTAATTTAAAAAAAAAAGATCCAAGTGGATTGTTTCACTGTATCCTTAATACTCTTCCAAAAGAAGTAGTTATTTAATATTCTTTTAAGTAGTAGTAGTAATAGTAATAAATTAATTTTCATAATATTATATCACAAAATTGCGTTACTTTATTCAACTCAAATACTATCACAAAGAATTAATGAAGTAATAGTACAAAATGAAAAAAATTAATTTAAATGCAAGAATTTTTTATGTATAAACACTTGGCGCTGCTAGATCTTAAAATGTAATAACGTAGTAGTAAAAACGTGAATATAACTTAGACCGAATAGAGAAAATGAACATTACCATGAGAGTAAAAATAAACAATGTGTAAATGTGCAAGCAAGTTATACGATCATGCAGATTAGAATTAAATCTAAGATAACAAATTTGGATTTGTGAGGGATGCATTGTGAAAAAGAATTAAAGTAAACTTTGTTTTTATCAAGTATAATATTTCCCATTTGTTGATAAGACCATATAGTATTTATATTAAAAGTTATATCAAAATTTATTTTAATCACCTTGTACTGAAGAAGAACCCAAACCTAGAAGTCGAAATATTTACCGTTGTAATCTAATGGAATAATAAAATTTACATTATTCTTAACATTAATATTTTATAAATAATAACATAATATAATAATATTAATAATAAAATTGTTACACAAAAGGATCTTGTGTTGGCTCGTAAAAAAAGCAATCACAAGTTTATGTTGATTTATTCGTTCTGAGCTGTTATTATATTCTCAGTTGTTACTATATTTAGTTATTATAATATTTATAATAGTTAATATAATATTTACATTATGTATGTATAATTTAGGGTGGTCCATCTTTTTCGACTTTCAAATTTTTTCCGCGGCATTTCTTAGAATGGTTCCAATTCATAAAGTGATTAAGAGTAAAAAACTGATAATATTGTACTAATTTTATTAGTTTAGTAGATGTGTTTATCGGTGTATATGCATTTAAAACTCAATAATACTCGATTTTTCTAAAAATTGTGATTTCAGTGTTATCGTCAAAGTTTGATTATCAACAGAGATGATAACATGAATTTAATAATGTATATTTATTAACCAAATATTTATGTTAATCAAATTTATATCAATTGTTGATAATGTCAGCATTCTTCAATACCTTATTACCTCTTCAATACCGTTACCTCCGGGCCCTTGGGGCTCTTTTTATACCACCGAAAATTTGCCCAGGGTTGACGGTCTTTAATAGTATCTCGTCGGTGACCTCATATATGACGTTGTTGCGATTATACTTCTGAGAGAGAGAACCGCTCTTTTTCATATATTACGCTAACTCTATTTCATTCCTTATAATAGAAGTATAATGAATAAACAAAAAATTTAATTTGTGTTATTCATGATATAAAGACAAGGGTATGGTCGTCAAATGATATTCTCTTGAGTACATGTAGAAAGTAGTGGTAATCAAGTGACTGTTATTAGATTACGTCGTGATATAAAGACAAGGGTATGCTCATCTCATGGATGCGCAGTAGCATACAGCCGGTTTACGTCACAATCGTGCAAATTCGGATACTTTCGGAGTGCTCGCACAAAATCTGGCTGCCCCTTGCCATAGAGACACAAGTGTCAGTTGCAATTACCGTGTGCATGTGGCTATTCACTGCCCATTCTTCAAAAATAAATTAGACAAGAGTCTTAAACATCCCCCCTATAACCTTTTCTGCAACTGACAAAAGTTGACAACAGATTATGGCCGCAAATAAAAAACATACTTTGTTATTGCCGGTACTGTTAGCACATTTCTACCAAATATCGTCAACAACCTTGTCGGCGAAGTATATGACAGAGATGCGGTGAAAAGCGAGCAGGTCTGTTCAACGCGTTGATAACAAATTGACAGCAGATCTTAAGCAATTTTGCTAATACAAAAGCAGCGTTTTTCACGAAAGAATGCAACATTATCTGTTCGTCAAAATATATTTGACACCATTTTGTCGGTACATTAGACAACAGATTTGACCTGCATTTGGCATCAACCTGTCGTCACATTGCTATTACCAAATTTGTTCTGGTATTGATTTCAGTTCGACTATAAGATATGTTCTTCAAATATGGTTTACATTGGAAATCCTATTACGGACACAGTAGGTTCTAGTTTTGACATATTATTCTGTTGAAATTATTGCCAATTTTATATTATCTTGCGTACAAAATGTTTGCTGGACCGTTATATACAGGGTGTTAGTTAAATATGTTGCCATACTCAACAGAACGATTCTTTGGTTTATTTCAAGTAAAAAAGCCGTTAGGACACATGTTTATATGGACTTTTTTACTTGAAATAAACCAAAGAATCACTCTGTTGAGTATGGCAACATACTTAACTAACACCCTGTATATATATATATTTTTTTTTTCTTTGATTTGTGAAGAGACTACAAAGAAAGTTTTCACCTGATCATATATTTTTCCAGGTAAGTGATGTGAATTTTTTAATGAAAAGTATTAATTGTTATTAAAAATGTAAAATCACCTTCCATTATACAAATATTTTCACATTTTCTGGCGAGAGTATAAAACTACATCATTTGTATAACATCATTAATATCAATGAAATATGCACTGCGTATTTCTTTACAAAGAAGTAACACATTATTCTTTGAAATGATATGTGATACATGTTAGTATAAGTTATTTGAATTTAGTGGTTAGGATTCATGTTTTAAAAGTGAATCTTACTGGAAAATACTGTAATTCACAAAGCTATAAGTCACAGTACTGAGCAAATGAATTTCGAATTTGCCGCTTAATGATGGCGCATCTGGGTGCATTTCTTATTGGTAGTCTGAAGCTATCATGCGCGTGAGCATACCCTTGTCTTTATACTTTGAATTACGTCACATTTACGTGCAATATGGCCGCAAATCACGGCCACGGCGAGCACGTAAAAGTAGCACGTGTTTATCACATTATAAATAATCACACGTTAAAAATGAGGTGGACAGTGAAAGGCTGTAAAAACTATTTTCAGAAAACGAAAAATCTCATTCGAAATTGTGAAATATTTTTCATTTCCAAAAGACGAAGCTGTTTGCATGAAGTGGCGTGAAGTTTGTACAAATCAAGATATCTCCGTTACCAAAGGTAAGAAAATATACAATCGAATCGGTGTTAGCGATGGCGAATTCAGTATCGTTGATATGTTCAAAAAATTGCTCCTTCCCGTCATTATGTTTTGAATATTCCTAATACAAATAGTATAAAAAAATAAATTTTGTTCCTTTATTTATGAATAATTTCATGCTCATCGTTGCTTCTTATTGTATTTCAAAGTTTAAACAATAAATGCCTCGAAAAGCATAATTTGTAATAATAAGAAAAATAATTATTTTGTATAATCTAATGCGTTGCACAGATTTATAGGTTATAAAGTTATGTTGCAAAAGTGAATTTCAATTAATTGCAAGTGTGAATATGCATTATCCTTTTTCTTAATAGGAATAAAAATTGGAAAATATTTAATACTGAACATTTAACTGATCGACAATAACTTAAGTATACATTATTTTATTTAGAATGAATATGTTCAATACATTTTGAACTGTCATGCTTCAAAATATCTTTTCGATTGCAACTGCTGGGGTACTCTCTGAAAAGTTCATAAGCTGAACAATAATACGGTTCCCATGTTGCATTTATTTAATGACTTGCATGTGAAAAATACACAATCGCTTAATCATTTTGATGAAGGAGGAACTACATCATTGATAGCAAATGCGTTTAAAGTAATGATAAATGTACCAATCGATAATATCAATATGCCTGGAGAAGTGTTAAATGCCTATATGCACATCAATGTATCACAAGAAGTAGTGCATTCATCTGCAGTTTTAGCAAATATGTCAATGGATTGTGTCGGTACACTTATTCAAGAAGGGTCGAATACTTTAATGAATATGAAAGTTGCATTGGAACAAATAGTGCCTTCATGTACAGTTATAGAAAATGTGGCGATGGATTTCGCCGATGTGTCTAAAAAAAATGTCGACTGCGTCAACACACATCGATGTCGCATCAAAAGAAATTGTAGATGCATCAAAGAGTATTATGGATGTGTGTAATGTGGACAATATCGTACATGTAACACCAAGTGTATCATCTGCCATAACAAATCTTCATAGCTCAAGTAAAAGCGTTGACTCCATGTAAGTAATACTTTATCTAGATCACCCTAATGTTCAAACATGAATATAACTATAAAATTATGCTCGTGTTTTTAAATTTTGTTATCTTCAGATTCTTTTGTAAAAAAAACAAAATCGTAATAATTATTATAAAAGAGGAATGATTAATTATTAGAGAACAATAGTGTATGTCATTTTACAGTTTGAAATAAATTTTTTTTTGGTAATGTAAATAAATATAAAACTACATCTTATAATAAAATAAAATGTATATATAAATAAATATAAAAATATATATAAATTTAAAAAAATAAAATAATATATACATATTATAATAAAATATGAATATGAACAAGTAAGGATCTTTTGTCCAATTATTCTTTTCCTGCATTGTTCGGCAATGTTTATTAATTTTCTCAGCATTGTATTAGTTTTATATGTAAAGTTGTGGAATATCATTTTTTATTGTATGCTTTCAGAAAAAATTTGCAACAAGAATTGGAAGCCTTGAAAAAGAAATTTGCAAAATTTAAACTAGAAACTAAATAAGAGAAATTGAATAGGTTGGTGAAGTTACATTTATATTGTTACTCTAGTATTTACTGAATTTGTATACATGTATTTTATTTGCCTTACATTTTCAGCGAGAATCTTAAATTGCAAGTGATTGCAATGAAGAAAAAATTGAAGCAGCAAGAACAAAATTGGTCTTGGGACATTGAAATGTGTGAAGTCAAGATGCACAAATCTTTAGGTAAAGTTTTCATGTCGGGTCAAATACGAATATTATTGAATCCTAACGTGACACGCATAAACTGGTTTTCGGAAGATATAACGAGCGCTATGTCTTTACGATGCATCAGTTCTAAAGCTTACCGGTACATGAAAAGTGTTATGAAAATGCCTCTCTCTGTTTTTTCAACGCTAAGAAGGTGGGCATGTAACATAGATCCTGGCATGTTAGATACAATCCTTACCTGCATGAAATGTAAAAGAAAAAGCATGCAAATGCATGAAAAACTAGTTATACTCACATTTGACGAAGTCCACTTATATAATAAAATTGTTATTGATCGAAAACTGCAGCAAGTTGTTGCACCACACAAGTTGTGCCAGTGTGTAATGGTCCAGTATATTTATTATTTTCGGCACCCTCTCGACGAAAAGTTAAAGGTTTTTATGTTTGCAGATATGCCGTTACTTCCTCAAGTTAGCAAGAAACCATTTATTGATAATGGGTTCGATGTGCGATAGCATCACGTAGATAAGAAATATATCGAATGAATCTTAAGTATTTATGCAAAAGATCTAAAAATTTCTTACAACATTTTTCAATATCACCTTCACGTCCAAGGCTGTGAAAGACAAAGAGTATTTCCTACTATACTTTATACAATTACTTTTTGAACGAACAGCTTCCTCCATTAGATGGTTTGGACAAAAAAACTATCTTAACCATTTTGACTGGAAGGAAACAGCGCGCATTGTCTGTTTCGTTTAACGACTCGTTGGAAATGTTTAATGCTAGTAGTATATATGGCGAACATGACAGCAAAAAAGTTTACGAGGTTAATTTAGAAAACAAGATGGCATTTTATGAACGAGATGACAATTAGAAGACACAAAAGTTTAATTACATTCCAAAAAGGCATTATCATTAGTAACTGTTCCTTGCAGCAATTTTTGACATATATTAAGGGGATGTATTCCAATAACTACGTTAAGATGCAATACATCATCAAACGGTTAAATCAAGATGTACTTGAAAACATTTTCACTTATGAATGCCATTGGTATTGTATACGACAAGCCCACCGCTCTAGATTTCAAATACCGCATGAAAAGATATATTTTAGGCAAGTACTCAACCAATGTGTTGTGTAATGAAAGAGTTTGAAACGTTTCGGCAGAATCTGATCTATCTTGCCTTGCATCTCTTCTTGCTACTGGCGAAGCTAGTGACAATTCTAGTCTGACAAATCCAGCGAAGTACTAAGTGGAATGCTCGAACTGTATGCGTTGAAGGATGATATACTACCGCATTTTGAAGAAGAAAAATTGTGCGCTGAATACGATGCAGAAAATAATAATGTAACCATATGCGATCTGTCTACGTTTCGTCGAACTTTGGAAGAAGAGAAACTTCTATACACTGAAAAAAACATGTACTAAATTTTAATAAATAATTGTTTGAATAGTACTAATATAAGTATAATGCCAAATTCAAATGTGGGTATTCTACCGTTGTGTCACGAGCGAAAATTTCTATAATTCTGACTTCACTGTACGTATACTGAAGATAGCTCGAAGAGGAGCCGAAACGTCTATGTAATACTTGGTATACAGTAAAGATTTTACGCACCATTTACCGCATTATAACTCTCATTAGCCCCATTTGATTATATTTATGATAATAAGTAAATCAAATTTATTTATGGAAAATGAATATTTACTAAATCAAATATTTATAATAATAGCTATAAATATACAAAACTCTCAAAATTGTCTAAAATGTAATCAAATGGGGCTAATGAAAGTTATAACGCGGTAAGTGATGCGTAAAATTTTTATCATATATCAAATATTACACAGACGTTTCGGCTTCTCTTCGGACCATAGAAATCGAGCAAAGTCTTGCATAACCTGACGGCAGATTTAGAGCAAATTGAGAGCAGAACCTGATTCGAGCAGACTGCTCGGTTTCTGCCACCAATCTGCTGGCATAGCCTGTCAACAGGCTTTGTCGACAAATCCATCCGCCAAATGCGAACACAGATGGCTATGGTTTTGTAGTCAAAATCTGATGAAGTTTGCTGCCAATTTGGCTCCAAATTGCTAACATTTTGCTATCAGAGTACTTGTAATTAAATGCTAAAATGTATCTTAAAAACGTTCCAAAATGCTTAAAATAAAAATGCGTTATAATAAATGCTGACTATTGTGTTGTATTGGCATATTAACATCATACATGTATCGGGGAGTTACTGAACAAATAATTATAAAGTAATCACTAGAATTTGTTATTTAAGATTTCTGAGTAGTCGGCCATATTGAATCGTGACGTTAGAAGTGAAAAATGACATTAATTTTTATTATGTGTTTTATTAAGCCATTCATTAATAAAGACAATTTGGATAAAATGAAATAATGAGATCGCCTTAAAACAATTGAGGGGATTGGCGGAATAAAGGCACAATTCTACTTAGGCCCTTTTTCCGGAGATTAGCGCAAATGTCTTAGCTTGAATGCCTTTTCGAATCGTCATAGCTAAAGGCTGTGTTTCGATATACACTGCCACTATTGAAAATCTATAATTCACGTTAGGTATACTATAAATTTTCAGTGTTAGCTGTGTATGTCAGAATACTTTCTTTATGACAAATTGTAAAAAAAGGTTTTAAAAGTCTATTACACAGCACACGTACTTCAAAATATTATTTGTGACTATTTGAAAGACAATTACTTATAGTAACTTATAGTATGTGAGTATCTCTATGTAAGACAATTACTTATACTAACTTATAGTATATGCGTATATTTATATAAAAACATATTAAAATATTTAGAATTATGATACTTTATACACGATTTTATGTATATATTACGAATATATTATAAATAAAATGATTTACAAAAATATTGTGGAAATTAGTACTTACTTTAACTTGCTAATTTTTAGAAAGTTATATATTTTTGTACTAAGTCTTAAACTAAATTTTAATAAAAAATAAAATATACTTTAAAAATTGAAAGTGTAATTTTATAATTTATTTATTTCTATGAAATTTAGTTTTCAGATATATTTTTAATTACTTATAACTATATACCTGTATACATTATGTAAAAGAAACCAAATTAACTTAAAGTTAACTAAAGAATTTACAGTTCAAAGGAAGCACATTTTATGAGGAACGCTGTACGTAAAACAGTAAAACTCTATAATTTAAATTCCAATTATGGTATATTAGTTAAAATAAAAAATTATAAGAATCGAGTAAAATACGCGCGCGCGCGCGCGCACACACACACGCGCACGCGCACACACACACACACACACACACACACACACACATATGTTATAAATTAATTATACTATTCAACGAACAAAAAAATGCACAAGAACAAAGCATTTTTAATAGCTTTTGAGTGGCAAATATGATTTTCTGCTTACCAAATTGTCCTAAATGTAATAATTTTGGGAAATTTGTTGTTAAAGTTGTAAAAGGGGCTATTTCAGTGTATTTGTATATCCATTACAATTACTGCAATATGTGACATGTTTAAGAAGTTTTATTACAATCGAAGTTAAATATGTTATTAGAATTCCAAATTTTAAAAGGAATTTATTGTGTTGTCAATTATGATGAAAAAAAATAATTGTGCGACTAAAATAGAGTCTGTTGCGATAAAGTTATGACTTACATATACTATTAAGGATATTTATCAAATATTTTTTAAATTATGTTATTTCTACTTGAAGATTTTTTAGTGAGTACTAATCTTATGTCAAAGGTAATATATTAAAAATGGTGGAATCAATATGATGAATATCATAATTAATAAATGTTCGAATTTTTAGAATAATTTATGCATAGGAGCATTTTTATACAATTTAAATTGAATTTAACTTTGACGTCAGATTAATACTCAGCGTTCTGGAAAGGTCTTAATTTTGAATAACATACAGCTACCCAGTATCCGAAAAGGGATTAAAATAGATTGAAAATTTTTAATACATTTTAATTCATTAGAATCCAAATTCTTAATCCATGTATTTGGATAAAAAAGAATTGAACGTGGTAAAATTGAATCATTTTCTGTTCCAATACGGGAATAGAAAATAATTCTTTTTTATGGATTCAAATGGATTCAAATAGATTCGTTTTTTATAGATTCAGATGGATTCAAATATAGATTCAAATTGTCAATCGGCTATAAAATTAATTAATACTATAGTTTTAAAAAAGCCGCTTTTTTCAAATTGCCGAAAAAATTTCGGTTTTTTTTCCGAAAAATTGTTT